CCCCAAAACCCCAAAACCCCAAAACCCCATGCTGCATTTATCTGAAAAAATTGTCAAAATTAAAAAATAAATGCACAAATGGATAGATCGCCAGATCAAAGAAAGTCTAATATATAATGATTGCCTATCAAATATCTCTATCAAGAAGCGACTGTGAAAATTTGGGGTCCATGCCTATATTTTTATAATCTCTATCTCCTTCATATAAGCTGCTCACTCTTTTTCCTAATTAAGTAATATCTTCTTTCACTTAGCTCTCTAGTTTTTAAGCAAATAGCTAGGTAAATTTAGCATTGAATATTTTTTAATTCTCCTTTGAGATAAAGTTTTAGTTAGTTTCATTAAGTAATTCATTCATCTCCTGCATGTCTCTATTACTTTCATCTTGAATTGTCATTGAAAACTATCCTGATGGATTCCTTAATCTCTTTTCTATATCTTTCTCATCTAAGATTGGCATACTTATTATTTATTCTATGATCTTCTCAAGAGTTGTTATTCCCAGGATTTGATGAGAAGTAACTGAAACCTATTAATCCCTACCTTGCTTTATTGCTTCAAGTAAATCATTAGCTTCATCAACTAATCTTTCTGGATCCTAGCACACTACGGCTAGATGAGCACTTCCTTCTTTGAAAATATTAAGCATTTAGCCAACTGTTGCTGAAGGGCTAGCATAGATAGGAGTTTTTATTAGACATTATCCTTTCATTGAAAGCTCTCTTAGGCTTAAGGGACTTTCAACATTCAATCCTATTAGTGATTTAACTATCAATAATCCGAGGATGAATGAATGATCCTCGCCATAGTATACTGGAATTCTGCTATATCCCTTTAGTTTTATCAAATCAATGACTTCTTTGTCCAAAATTGTATCAATGGATAGACTAAATACTCTTTCATAAGGTGTAATTAATTAATCTATTGTGGTATTTCTCAGGTCGAACGCACCAGCTATAATATTTGTTTAGAGATTTGAAAGTCCCATATTTTCATTTTGTACAATCTGCAGTTCCTAAAGTGCTTTCTTTGAGTGCATTTGAACCAATGTCTTCAGTTGATCATTCTTAAATCTTGTGATGTCATGCTCACCTAAAACGCAATCTAATACTTTTGAAATAGGGTAGCAGACTAACCCTAGAGAAAACATCAAAAATTTAATCAATGGAGCTAATCTACGAGCAATAATAAGTTGGGATGGCCCAGTGCAAACTGCTTGAGGGATAACTTCTCCGAAAAACAATACAGCTGTGACTGAAATTATGATAGCCCAGAATGATGGAACTATTGCATCTAGATAAATTGGCAAGGCTTCCATAGCAAATGCATTTGATAAAAGTAGAGTAACCAATAAATAATGATGCTATTTCAGAATGGGTAGAATCACTCTTGCCTATAAGTAATTAAGAAAATTAAATATAACATACGCATTTCTTTTCCTCTAGTGTTCCAATCGATTGCTTGATCTCTAAATCTAGTTTATCAATGGATAAGTATCCGACAGTCAAACCACTCATTAATCCTGCAAAACAAACCAAAACTAGAGAAAAATTATTAACCTTCGGAGAAATTCAATACACAATGAAAAGAAAAGGTAAAACCAAAATTAAGTCGACCCGTATTCAGCTTTATCATCTCCATGGAAAACAATTGGACGCTAGTTTTCAAGAAGAAAATCTTTTCCCTCATCAATTAATGACTCATGCATTAAGCTTCCTGAATTTTAAGCTAATTGCTACTAGTCTTTACTCTATTGCTGCAAAACTATACATGATTGTTAGGAATCTGATGATTAAATTTATTGAAGCTTTCAATCTGATTACCTTATTGTATTGTATTTTATTATAGCTCTCTCAAAAGTACAATCTAGGATAAAAGAGAGAAAAGTAATATACACCTCATTACTTTATTAAACTTTTTCATTTTATGACTTTAAATTTAACGGTAATACTTTTATAATCCAAGGTGGGGTTTTGGGGTTTTGGGGTTTTGGGGAGATCGGAAGAGCGTCGT